TTTTTACGAAAAAAATTATGAATACAGTGAATTTGTTAAGCTTAACAAAGCATCAAAAGATTTATTAAACTTAACCTTTGTAATAGCATTTGATTTGAAAAAGTAAAAATTGAAACACAATTACTCCTTTAGCCTGAAAGGTATAATCAACGATAATGTATAATATAAAACAAATAAAGTAATGGTAGCTATACAACAATAATGTTCAAAAACACGCGAAATATTTATTTTTTTAAAGGTGAATAGGTCTTCATTTTCATAAAGTAAAACTATTGTTTTTACTGGATCACCAACACAAACATAACGTTTACGTTTCTTTGCTGGCAGGTATGATCACACCTCTCCAATACTATGTGAACTCTTGCGCGACATTTTCTAACTGCACATTTCAAATCTCTTTGCCTGCTGCTCCACTTATGGCTTTTATAAATTCACCAGATAATAAAAGAGGCCATTGCTGAGTAATCACCACTAATGCTGCTTTGTTTGCATGCACACTACACATACTTAGCTCCGCGATGACTGCTGTAGTTTAAATAAGCATTGGTCATCTGATCACTAAGGTGTGACCGACACATAACTATTGACTGTTGATGCTAGTTGTATTGTCCGTGGAGGGCGGATGTCTTTCCCTTAGGGCATGTCTCTACCATCAAAGCAGGCGGCCACGTTGATACGAATGAGTGTCTTTATTGTTATTTCATTCCCTTTTGATCTAGTTTCGTCAACCTGACATGGTAGGATTGTCTCATTTTTGGCATGCCCGCCTACGCTGTCTATTGAAAAATTTCTTTAACCTCGAATACTATATTAGTAATCTAAGTTTTAAAATCTTTAGTGCAATATGACAATTGTATACGGCAAACATTCTCACAATTAGTATATAGGCCTATAAACAATATTAATCATAGTAAACAAAAGCGTATGACAGGTCTATAAAAATAAATTCAGATCAACTATCAAATACACTATTAAAATTTTGCTGTGAGATATTTTGTCTGAGATATTTTGTCTGAGATCAATTGTCCATGGTATCATTTGTCCTGATATATTTTGTCCTGGTATCTTTTGTCCGTGAGATCCATTGTCCTTGAGATCATTTGTCCTGAGATCATTTGTCCTGAGATCATTTGTCCGTGAGATATTTTGTCTGAGATATTTTGTCTGAGATAGTTTGTCTGAGATCATTTGTCCTGAGATCATTTGTCCTGTCACCATTTTAGCTTCACTGCTATATATATTAAGTCAACCATGTTGTGTAAGCAGTATAACAAACGAAACGAAATATTAACACAAACGCCAACGATATTCAAATGTAAGTTATATAAAACGAGAAAAATGGCCCGTTGAGGAAGGGTACAACGGGCGCTAGGCTGATAGTGCTGTCTCTTTTCTCTAAACTAAAACCAACCCACCCCCCCACACACCAACCCCACCACACCCCCCCCCCACCCCCCACACACCACCCCCCACCCCCACCCCCCACCACACACCACCCCCACCCCTCGCCCCCACACACCACCCCCTCCACACACCGCCCCCCCCCCACCCCCCACCCCCCCCCCCCCCCCAAAAAAAAACATGTCTACCGTCCCATTCAACGAAATATAATTATATACTTTTTCCAGTGTCCGCCCCCTCCCAGAAAATTCTACCCCCGCCCCCGAAAATTTCAAGTACCCCCCCACCCCTCTCCGGGAGGAAAAAGTCTGTAAGAAACACCGAAACCAACCCACCCCCCACCCCCCACCCCCCCCACCCCACACACCACCACCCCCCCACCCCTCCACCACCCCCCCACCCCCAAAAAAAACATGTCTACCGTCCCATTCAACGAAATATAATTATATACTTTTTTCCAGTGTCCGCCCCCTCCCAGAAAATTCTACCCCCGCCCCCGAAAATTTCAAGTACCCCCACCCCTCTCCGGGGAGGAAAAAGTCTGAAAGAAACACTGAAACCAACCCACCCCCCCACACACCACCCCCCACCCCCCCCCCCCCCACTCCCACACACCACCCCCCCCCCCCCACACACCCCCACCCCTCCACCCCCCCCCCCCCCCCCCCAAAAAAAAAACATGTCTACCGTCCCATTGCAAGAAAACCACTTTTTAGATTAGACACATTAATTAGGCGGTAATTTTATTATAGAGTATCGATGAGGAAATTTCTTTTGAGTTGGGGAGGGGGGGGGGGGCTCAGACGTTCTTACGCGGGGGGTGGGGCTTCGCCCCTACCCGAAGAATTGTATGCAAGAAACTCTTCACGCAAACCATTTAGATTAGACAACATTTCCTTTTTATTCAATGTTTACGCGATAATCAATGACGTCATTATATTACTGTGTGCACTTTCCGCCCTGAGATTTATTTTCAACTCTACGCTAAATGTGTCGACGTCATATTTCGTTTTTCGAATTACTGTGCATGTTTTTAAATTGCTTGTGTTTTCTCTAGAGCGTTCTTGTCAGACAGAGCGTTCTTGTCAGACAGACAGCGAAACTATTAGTATTAATATTTATAATTTAAGATATATATAATTTAATTTAATTTTTTTCCCACAAAAAACTGTGGTGGGGGAGACACCTTTTAATTAATGGACCTTTTTTTATTGATTTGTGTGTATCTAAATTATAGTGCTTTAGGGAAAATATTTGCGTGTAGTAGGGACTCTTCTGAAATATGCTCACCATTGCAACGGCGGCCATCTTGAAAAAACAACCTTGCATGGAAGTCTTTTCAAAAACTAACATGGATAATTATTATGGATTATATTCACTCAACTTTACTAATTCTAATAGAGCCAGTTGGCTAGTTTTTATAACAGAAAACACTTTAGGAATATTATTTTTCAAATGTTTGTAAGGTAAAACGCTATAAAAAAATTAAGCGGATGATTCAAGATACCGATGACCGATAAAAGACCCTTCCAAACATAGGTGCATTAGGACAATTTGGTTGTTAGTAGTATCGTAATCTCGACTAGTTTTATGTGTAGAAATTAGGATTAGGCGTATGGTAGGACTGGGGTTAGTGATAGGCTGAGCGTTGACATTAGCAAATCATGTGTGTATTTTAGTTAACGATCAGTAACCTCAGTAGCGTAGCCAGGAATTGGTCATGGGAGGGGTTAAAAAATTTTCCATCCGTATATAATCATATATAATCCGTATATATATATATATATATATATAATATATATATATATATATATATATACATATATATATATATATATATATATATATATATATATATATATATATATATATATTCGAGGAGAAAGGGGCAGTGACACTGTAAATACCTTATAGGTTGACACCTAACCTAGTGACGCAACTGTGTATGTATAGTCTTCATACCTCTAGTACTTTCAGCTAAATCATAGTAACCACACATAATTAACGCCATATATGCTTGCTCTCTGTGGAAGAACACAAGACTTTAAATTCCAACTCGAATTAGGTTACATCATCTTTATGATCGTCAACCTAATTTCTTACCATTAGCCCATCGTGTAGCTGATCTGCAACGTTTCAGTAGTTTTATGTAAAGTACGGATAATCGATAAAACAATGTTTTTACTTTCTCGTATATACGAAGTATAGAGAAAGTATTGTAATCTTGCAAAAAACAAAAATCGAGATTTTTACAAATCTCGACGTTTTACATCTCACTGATACGGAAAAACATAATTTTGCAATCTTGTCCGTATGTCTGTGTGTCTGTGTGTCTGTCTGTCTGTCTGTCCGTGTGTAAACACGATAACTTGAGTACCGTTACAGCTAGGTTGATGAAATTTCATATATAAGTATTTTATCAAAATCGTAGATCCGTATCAACTTTTGAGCGATTTCCGATAACCAGAAGTGGTACTTTTCCTACTTTGAATTTTTCAAAAGCCTATAACTATTTTAGATAGATAAATGAAATTTCACACGTAAGTAAAAGATCTAATTCTCTACCTTCTGTTAAATTTTGAGTAATTTCCGTTGACTGGAAGTAGTACTTTACGCTACTTCCGATTTCTCAAAAAACTAATGTAAATTTTAAAAGTACTAATAATATTGCGCACTATTATGCGCTTTTTTATTTGGCGTTCACTTGGTGTGCAATTAATTTGTCTACGAGATTTTATTCTATTTTTAAAACTTTAAGTATTTAAAATGGATTAAAAATCATGTCTATAGCCCGAGTTCCCATCCCCTGTTATTTAATATAAGAATATTCGAGAAAGTTTAGGGGAGATCACTCCCGGTTTATTTAAATACAAAATTATTTTCCGTTTAAAACTCAAAGCCTGTTATCGGGCGCTTAGAAGGAAGCTCACATGCATTACGGTTTTAATTTTACAGTTGTACATAAAGTAAGGAGAACCGATAAAACAATGTCTAAAAAAAAAAAGATTTTACGTTCAAAACTTATTTAACAGGCGCCGGTACTTACGCTTGAAGGGTAAAAGATAGCTCCTGACGAGTAACTGTGTCAAACATTCGGTCTAGTAAGTTCAGTGTGCCATTGACTCGTGTCGCTTGAGCGGCTACGACAACAATTGCTGAATTCGTCCTGACATGGAGAAAACAAGTGGCGCACGTTAAACACTCTCATATATGCACATGCAGTGTTTCTTCCAGACTTTTTTCTCCGGGTTAGGGGGTGGCGCACTTGAAATTTTCCGAGGGTGGGGGGTGGACTAAGGGGGTGGGGGGCGACACTGTTAAAAGTATATATTTTCTATATTTTCTATATAAATTCGATTTAGTCCGGAGAAGGGGGGTACATTCTTCGGGGTGGGGGGGGGGCGTGGAGAGATGCTGTGAAGAAACACTGTGCATTGTGTATTTAAAAAATTTGAATATTTATATGTATTATTGTTTGACTCCCTAAAGAGATGCCTGAAAGAAACTCTGATATATATTTACCCGACCCCCCCCCCCCCCCCCCACACACACACATGAAACGAATAGCCACATTTTACAGAAAACATTTTTACTTTGCAAGGGTCACGTAATATCTGGTCCCGAACCCAGCCACGGGGATCGCCAACATAACGCTGTATAAATTTCGCCGGTTGAACCGTGTGTAATGCACCTGCAGACAGAACTTGTAGTCGCCAGAGCTCCTGGCTACGTATGCGTATGTCGCTGATGGTACTTCCGGAGGCCTATTACAAGGAAAGAGAAATGAGTGACTTTTATATAAAAATCTCTACGTCTCTAGATTGGGGTGATGCTGAAGAGAGGGCTCATTATCTAAAAATTTAAAAAAAAATTAATATTGATATGTAAAGGTTTTTTTAAAATCATAAACACAGTGTCAATCAATAAAAAAGGTGGGGGGCTAGATCTCAATTACTTAAATTTTAAATTAAATCAAACAAATGATGTTGAAGAAATAGAAACAAACCATTACGTAGTGTTTATTCAGTTTATTCAATTACGGTAACAATAGTAGGCACGAAGTTAAGTAGTGTAGCTAGTGCAAAACCTAGCCGGGACGGTAAGAACCTTTTTTACTTTCTCGTATATACGAAGTATAGAGAAAGTCTTGTAATCGTGCAAAAAAAAAGACGTTTTACACCTCACTGATACGGAAAAACATAATTTTGCAATTTTGTCCGTATGTCTGTGTGACTGTCTGTCAGTGTGTCCGTGTGTAAACACGATAACTTTAGTACCGTTATAGCTAGGTTGATGAAATTTAATATATAAGTATTTTATCAAAATCGTAGAAACGTATCGACTTTTGAGCGATTTCCGATAACCAGAAGTGGTACTTTTTCTACTTTGAATTTTTCAATAGCCTATAACTTGAGTACTATTTCAGATAAATAAATGAAATTTCACATGTAAGTAAAAGATCTAATTCTCTACCTTCTATCAAATTTTGAGTAATTTCCGTTGACCGGAAGTACTAATTTAGGCTATTTCCGACTTCTAAAAAAACATGCATGTAAATTTATAAAGTACTAATAATATTGCGCACTATTATGCACATTTTGTTTTGGCGTTTGCTTTGTGCGCAATTCTTTTTTCCACTAGATTTTAGTCATTTTTTTAAATTTTTAAGTAAACAAAAATCACTATATTCCGAGTTGCCATCTCAGTGTTATATAGGAATATTCGAGAAAGTTTAGGGGAGATCACTCCCGGTTTATTTTGTAAGGTAATCTTTACAGCTAAACGCAAGGTCAGTGTAAGAACTTTGTTAGGATTACAAAAAAAAAAATAGCCTCAAATAAGTTTTATTTAATAGCGTCGTGGGATCAATCGACTCAATGCTTCAGTTACAATAAATATCTTGTTTTTTTTTAAAAAAATCTTACATTCTGATTCCGTCAAAAGTGACGGTTTTCACTTCCGGACTCTGCAGCGTGATCTGCTTCTCCGCGTCCCCGTCCACGTTGTGGGCGGTTCTAAAAGTCACGTTGAAAGGTTCCCGTGACATGGTCAGGGCGAAGAAAATATATTGCCCGTCGGTGATTGGAGGAAACTGTAAGATGAAGTACGTCCCGTAGTGGAGAGTTTCAGCGGCTGAATTAAAAAAATAGAATTAGAGGCGTAGTGAATTATTACGGCAAACTATAGATTTTGCGCAACCCCTCCCCATTTATAGTTATAGTCTATTTTCTGAGCTTTGGTTATGTTTAACTCAGTAATACAGCTCAGAATGATATTTTGTTTATTTATAGGGTCCTACTTCTAACCTGTTTGGTGCCCCCCTTAGGTTCGCAGACCGGGACAGCCGCCCCACCCGCCCACCCTTAGCTACGCCTCAGAGCTGAAAGACAGCCTGCATTTCAGCATGTACAGGGTTAAATAACGATCTGGCTAAATCTTGGATAACAAATGATATAATACATGCATATAGGATGTCTGGATTTACTCACCATGAAGAGATAAAACGTAAAAACTCCAAGTGCAAGAAAAAACAACTAGTTTCAGCATTTTCCACGAACTGGAATTATATATATATATATATATATATATATATATATATATATATATATATATATATATATATATATATATATATATATATATATATGTATGTATATATATATATATATATATATGTATATATATATATATATATATATATATATATATATATATATATATATATATATATATATATATATATAGGCCTATATATATTTGTATATACAATATCTTATATACATATCTTATTTGTATTTGTCTTACAACTAGCATATTGCTTGCTTTAGGATTTATGCGGTTTTAACCCTTAAAGTGCCAGGCGGTATAAATCGTACCGGAGCACTAATTCATCTGTTTGATCCTGCTCTCGAGCGAACTCTCCAAATCAGTGGCGTAGGCAGGGGGGGGGGGTTAGGGGGGGTCATAACCCCCCCCCCATAGACCCATCGGTATATATAAAAAGTATGAGGGGGGTGCAAATCGAAAGTTTAAGGGGGGGGGGGGGGTGCAAATCGAAAGTTTGAGGGGGGTGCAAATCGAAAGTTTGTCCCCGGGTATAAATTGGAACCCCCCCCCCCCCCCTTGAGACGATCCTGGCTACGCCACTGCTCCAAATCAAGCCCATACTTTTTTCGTTACTCAGTCTGCTACCCCATACCACCCTATCAAAGTTGCAGATTTTGTTCTTCAAAATATCATTTTATTTACTTAAATATGTATTGATTTCGATCTGCGTTGAGGATGCCAATAGTAATCAATTTACTATTACAGTTTTAAAAAGTCGCAAAAAACGGCTAAAATCCAGTTTCTAACAATACTTTTCAAAATGCAAAAGTAGTTACACTTTATGATCCCCATTCCCTTTGTCACCCCCCCCCCCCCAAAGTTCGACTATTTCCATCCCCTCCCCCTGTATAAGTAAAGTGTGACCCCATTGCAGTGAGTCTTAGTAGTCTTACCACCTAAAAATAAGTCTTTGTGTTATATCGCTGTTCAAGCATCTCTTCGAACAAAAGCCCTCCCCCCCCCCCCCCGAACTAAATGAAATTTATATAGAAAATATATACTTTTACAGTGTCCGCCCCCCTACCCCCCGAAGAACGTCTACCGCCACCCCCCCCCCCCCCCCACCCCAGAAAATTTCAAGTGAAGTGCCCCCCCCCCCCCCCCCCCCCCGGAGAAAACAAAAGTCTGGAAGAAACACTGAGTATTCTCACAAACTATGTATTATTTTTATTTAAATCTAGATCTTCACGTGATAGGCCTATTTTAAAATGTTATGCTAAGTCGGTCTAGGCAGGTCTAGAATCTTGATACAGGCATACTGATATAGTCTAGACTAGACACAAGCTTATTCGCTAGTTCTTGTTCAAGATGTGACTTAAAAAATGAATCGTAAATTCCAAGGTTGCTTATATAAATTATAATAGTTTAAAATTGAAAATAGATTAAAATGTTTTAGTTAATTAGTATAGGATTCGTATCGTTGGTGTTATACTTTGTTCTTCTATAAAATACTAAATAGCGTAGAATACAATTCGGCCATTGTTTACATAAACCGTGCATTCCTCTAATTTTTAGTTTTCCGTTCAAAACTAGTGCAATTTTGCGTCGAGTTAAGGACTCGAAAGGTGGCTTAGCAATAGATCTTGCAATATAGCTGCATGGTCTTTTTGAGCCTCGTAAATAGTTGTATTATGGGGTTAACATTATAGTTATTTATAAAAAATATATATGCAGGCGTTGTTTATTATTTAGTGTTATTCTTTGACCTGCGAAGGGTTGGGGGGGGGGAGGGGGGGGGGTTGTGTCACAAAATAAAATTTTATACAAAGTCCTATTCATTAGGCCTATACGTATCTCTTTCAATTAGGTTTACGCCTATGAATGCTCTATTAATATTATTGTTGTTATGATCAACTTGTGTGAATACATTATATTTTGCTTTCTTAGTTTTATAATTTTTTAATTTAAAAAAAATTTAAATTATGCTTTGCAAAGTTTCGAATTAATCTTTTTTATCTAAAAGTAGAACTCTCCCAATAATAAGTTTCGATGATCAAAGGTTAAGGCCAAAGGTCTGACAGATGCTAGATATCTAGGCATTTCGATCCTTCTGATCTGTAGTTGTCACTCGCTCCTTTACCAAAACAAACGCACTTTTTATCTGTGTGATAACTAGATTTAGATCTGTACCCCCCTGTAAGCATTTCCTACTCTTATACATGGTTTTCCCTAAACTTTTATCAACTTTTAGAAGTAACGTTTCATTCATGTTTAGCTTTCATTTAGATCTAGATCTAGATCTAGATCTAGTTGATTTAGAAAGTTAGAGAAATCTAATCTACTAAAAGTAGGCCTACTATAGTACTAAACCTAGCGTAGACTCTGACTCTAGGCCCTAGAGTCTACTCTAGTCTAGAGTCAGACTCTAGACTCTAGTCTCTCCTTGAATAATTCTAGATCTAGAATTCTAGATCATCTAGATCTAGAATCTAGATTTCCAGGTAGAAACACACTTTCTTCCAAACTCATCTTAATCTTATTCATTCTCATCACTTCAGTCAGTACAGTACATCAGTCTTGAATGCTCTTCAATTTCAGTCTCAGTGATTCACACTTATTAGGCCTACTTATTATAATATTATTTTTTTTATTATTAGATCTAGATCTAGCATTTTTATGTCAGTGTATTCAACTGTGTGTGGTTTTGTACTGTGCAGCTTAGTCTGTTACCATGCAATTTTTGGGGTGTTTGTAAAATCTGGTAAATTGCAAGGCACAAAATGGTGAGGTGGTAAATTGCGAGAAAGGTGCGAAAGCTGCAGGCCACTTAACATTTTTGTCTCACATCTTACCCCCACTGGCCACTAAATACTTACGCTGGGAGGGAGTAAAATGCTAATATGTCTGTGAAAATTGAATCACACCCAATTAATAAAAACAATGAGCTTTGATGCAAGTGTTTCGTTTGTTTGTATTGTTGTAATTTCCACTTTTTCCATCGCTAGACATGCTGATGATTTATCAACTTCTTTCTTTTGTGTGGAACACCGAAGCTGCCCAATATATCTGCTTTTGAACATTCTGTTCTTAGTGCTGTACTCATCTTTATGACTACTACTTTTAGATTGTTAGTTTTCACAACAGCAACTACTGTCAGTCAGAAGAAACTAGGCTAGATTTTCCAAAAAATTTCTTTTACTGTAAAACTTAAGATATTGTGCCTAATGAGCGTTTAATGGACTTTCCCAATATGTTTAATCCAGTGAAATTCAATTTCATGCACTTAAATATTAAACTTTCCCATGGTAACAGCCTGACAAAACGTAAATGTTTATTCACATTTCTGCATAGCATATGGCATATGGAATTGTTTACTTAATGTAATGTCCTTTGAAATTACCTTTTATAACATAATTTTCTTCATATGACCACTAGACCAATATATACATTAAGTATCACCCTGAAGAGCTCTCTTTAACAATACCATCAAACACTAAAATCACTGTTAATAAGATGCTTTGGATGTAAATCCCCTAGCATATTTGAATGTGTTTTGGCGTTGTAGGTGAAATGTTGTATTCCTTGTTTCCAATAGGAGGAGAATGTCCAAGTTAACTTTGATCTCAAGCAACAAATGTTTTGGTGGAGAACAGAGAGTGTACAGCCATGAGAGGTATTTTAACATTTTATTTGTGTAGAGCAGGGGTCTCCAAACTGCGGCCCGCGAGGTCTTCTTATCCGGCCCGCGGAGATCTTTTTGTCCACGGAAAAAAACGTTTGTTGGTGATGGCTGAGGAACTTTGCCCAGAAAAATCAAAGACATGCCTGGAAGAAATGGCCCCCGAACTGAAATTTGATAGTTAATGCGGCCCTCGGACTGAAAAGTTTGGAGACCCCTGGTGTAGAGCTATTAGAGGTATTTGTAACTTTCTTTTTGTATAGCCATGAAAGGTATTTTAGCTTTTTTTTTTTGGTATTGAAATGAAAAGTATTGAACATTCTCTTCCTCTGTAAGACTCAAGGTTTCTACCATTCTATTTCTTTGTATAGGCTATAGCTATTTAAATTATTTTAACATTTCCTTTTGTGTAGTTTTGAAATGTTTAAAAAAATTTATTGTAAGCATATTGCTTTGAAAGATATTTTAAATTTCATTGCATTGCATTGCTTTGAAAGGCATGACGTTTACTACAGATTAGTTTATACAAGCCATGGAAAGCATTGATAACTTTACTGTTAAGACTTCACTCTCTTTTATTTAGATAAAACAATCCAGCATAGGTTATTCTAACATTCTAAATCCTAACAAAACTACCATTCCTCATGATTTTATTTATAGCCTACTATCATTACTCAAGTTAAATACAAAATGTCTGTTTTCAGCACAGAGGTAGCTTGTACTATGAAGTTTGGAATTTTTCTACCATCCAATGCACTTGATGGCGTGAAGTTGCCTGTGCTCTATTGGCTTTCAGGTGAAAACATACACAACAGGTGTATTATTTTAATATGACAAATCGAAAGTAGTTAAATCAATAGTATTTCCTGTTCAAGCCATTAAAAAAATGAATTATAGCAAGAAGCTGCATAGGAGCAAAATTGTTTCCAAATACTGGGCTAGTAAACAATTATGTTCGCATGGAAACACAGTCTTATAAACCAAGTATAAGAAACGTAATTGATGTTTTTACATTAAGTTTTTTGGATATGTTTTATAAAGTAAGATATTGCATTACTAGTGATTTATACCACAATGAACTTACTTTTGTTGTAATGTTTAGTAGTTCTTTTTCATTCTTCTGTGGCTGTATGGACAAAATTTTATTATAGCCTCTTGTCCATTTTCCTGTCTAAACAAAAATGGTTCAGTCCTCTAGCTGATGTGAACAAAACAAAAATGGTTCAGTCCTCTAGCTGATGTAAACAAAACAAAAATGGTTCAGTCCTCTAGCTGATGTGAACAAATCAAAAATGGTTCAGTCCTCTAGCTAATGTGAACAAAACAAAAATGGTTCAGTCCTCTAGCTAATGTGGACAAAACAAAAATGGTTCAGTCCCCTAGCTAATGTGGACAAAACAAAAATGGTTCAGTCCTCTAGTTGATGTAAACAAAACAAAAATGGTTCAGTCCTCTAGCTAATGTGGACAAAACAAAAATGGTTCAGTCCCCTAGCTAATGTGGACAAAACAAAAATGGTTCAGTCCTCTAGTTGATGTGAACAAAACAAAAATGGTTCAGTCCTCTAGTTGATGTGAACAAAACAAAAATGGTTCAGTCCTTTAGCTGATGTAAACAAAACAAAAATGGTTCTGTCCTCTAGTTGATGTGAACAAAACAAAAATGGTTCTGTCCTCTAGTTGATGTGAACAAAACAAAAATGGTTCTGTCCTGTGGCTAATGTAAATCAAACAAAAACGGTTCTGTCCTCTAGTTGATGTGAACAAAACAAAAATGGTTCTGTCCTCTAGTTGATGTGAACAAAACAAAAATGGTTCAGTCCTCTAGCTGATGTAAACAAAACAAAAATGGTTCTGTCCTCTAGTTGATGTGAACAAAACAAAAATGGTTCTGTCTTCTAGTTGATGTGAACAAAACAAAAATGGTTCTGTCCTCTAGTTGATGTGAACAAAACAAAAATGGTTCTGTCCTGTGGCTAATGTAAATCAAACAAAAACGGTTCTGTCCTCTAGTTGATGTGCACAAAACAAAAATGGTTCTGTCCTCTAGTTGATATGAACAAAACAAAAATGGTTCAGTCCTCTAGCTAATGTGAACAAAACAAAAATGGTTCAGTCCTCTAGCTGATGTGAACAAAACAAAAATGGTTCTGTCCTGTGGCTAATGTAAATCAAACAAAAACGGTTCTGTCCTCTAGCTAATGTAAACCAAACAAAAATGGTTCAGCCCTCTCTGATGTGAACAAAAAAAAATGGTTCAGTCCTGTGGCTGATGTGAACAAAACAAATTGTATTCTACCCCCAGGTCTGACTTGTACAGAGCAAAATTTCATCACAAAATATTATTCCATCCCCCAGGGCTGACTTGTACAGAGCAAAACTTCATCACAAAATTTTATTCCATCCCCCAGGGCTGACTTGTACAGAGCAAAACTTCATCACAAAATTTTATTCCATCCCCCAGAGCTGACGTGTACAGAGCAAAACTTCATCACAAAATTTTATTCCATCCCCCAGGGCTGTACAGAGCAAAACTTCATCACAAAATTTTATTCCATCCCCCAGGGCTGACTTGTACAGAGCAAAACTTCATCACAAAATTTTATTCCATCCCCCAGGGCTGTACAGAGCAAAACTTCATCACAAAATTTTATTCCATCCCCCAGAGCTGACTTGTACAGAGCAAAACTTCATCACAAAATTTTATTCCATCCCCCAGGGTTGACTTGTACAGAGCAAAACTTCATCACAAAAGCTGGGGCCCAGAGGGTGGCAGCCAAGCAGGATGTCATCATTGTAAACCCTGACACTAGCCCAAGTAATTCTTTAAAAGTTTATTACTAAGTACAGTTTTGGTAAAATTGTTCTGTACAATTTTTCTTTTACTTATTAAAACAATTTTATCATGTTCCTGGTAAATAATAATTTAGATTGGAGTTGTGTGTTTTTACTTATTTTTCTTTCTTTTTTACTTTTTTCTTTTGCTGGCCAAAATAGATTTTTTTAATAAATTACATGTTTTTGGATCTGTGCGCATTCTGCTTTATTTAAAGTTTTACCTAATCATTTTTAATATAATAACTAAAACACCTTTTCTCTTGTAGTGATTGTTGCAGGTTTTCTTACTTTATTATATTATAATGTGGTCAAGTTGATTTAACAATAAAACTTCATCATGCTCACAGGAGGATGCAACATAGAAGGAGAGGATGACAGCTACGACTTTGGTAGTGGAGCTGGGTTTTATGTTGATGCAACAACAGAGAAGTGGAAGGCAAACTACCGCATGTACTCATACGTGGTGAAAGAAGTGAGTGCTGGATTCAATTCACTCTTTTTATTCCAGTCCATAATTCTAGTCAAGCTTTGCTTTATATTTTGTGTTTCTAAAAATAATCTAACTTATATTTTTTTATCTGGTCCGTTTTTTTTGTCAGTTTTTAAATTTATTTTCTTGTCCATATTTCTATTCCGACTTTATGTAACATTTTTCTAGTCCCAGTTTTTATGTTAGACTTTAACCCTTTATCTACTGACGGTACTTATAAGTACCACTTTAATTAAGTGCCTGTATTATTTTTAATTTAATACGAATTTTAAAAATTATTGAGGTAATTAATAGTATTATCTCCCCTGAGTCGCCGGTAGTCGGAGGTATCAATGTTTTTTTTTTAAATTAATGGTGTGGCGCCATTTTCAATGTCTTGCTATATCGGTAGTTCACAATTGTTCTGTACAGTTCTCACACACGTTCCTGAATTCCCTTTGTTTTACCTTATTTTTCAAGTTTTCAACCCCAAATATTTTTTATTGGCACCTTCAATAGTCAGGCAAACGCGTTTAACAGCTAGTTATACAATTTTAATAACATTGTCTTTGTATTAGATCGATGTTTACAAGTGGACTTATAAGTACCGTCAGGGCACATGGTCATTTTTTTAGGATTTTTAGAAAATGGCAGATTTGTTAGGTGGAGTTACATAAATATTGTCTTGATAATAAATTATCGAAATGTACTCAAAAAATGATATTTGCACATTTATAAGAAGGTTTGCACAAGGTTTACCTAAGAAATATTGTAATTACATGTTAATTTCTATTAGTAAAAAATAACAAGAATAAAGGTATCAGTTGCAGGCTCGTGTACAAGGTTTAGTTTACTGCATTTGTATACCAAAGCCTAGTTCTAGTAGTTAGATTTAATTTGTTAGTTATATTTACTGCAATAAACTGTCTTGCTAACAATAACTAGCATTTACGTAATGTATACCTGTAGACTAGTAATAGTCCATACTTCTGCATATAGTATAGATCTATGAGGTAAATTTTAATCAGTAAACAGAAAAGAGTAATCCACTACAGCTATCCTAAACACATTGAGCTCACTTCTATTTATGAACTTTGCACTGTAGTGTAGACTTGTCATAACATTCTAGTAGGCTACAATTATACTAGTATTACTAGTAGTTGTGTGCTGAATGACTAGGCTTTTGTTTGTTTATGCGGCTCATTGTACTAGTTATTGGAAGCTTCCAGCAAAAGCATATTCATTCCAGCAACCGTTGCTACACCAGAAAGACCACAGACAAGATTGAGGGAACATGATATGTCGATCACTTTTGCTGTGTATGAGGTCTAAGATGTGTTCCCATAGAAAATCCAGTAAAAATCGTACTCAAAAAATACTTTTGTGCTGTATTTATGTGTGAAAATTACAAAATGTGATTGTTATGATGATTGCCATGTTATTAGTTAATAAATTGTATCGTTTGTTACTGTTTTGTAAAAAAAAAATTTTTGAAAAAAAATGTCCAAGATTACTGACGGTACTTATAAGTACCAATATCTGTTTGGGCCATTAAAAATTTATGAAACGAAATTTCCTTCGACATATGCTTTGAATGTGCCAAAAGCAATATAGTAACACATTGTTTAAGTAAAAATCTCATTCAGAACATAATTCCGTAAATAAAGGGTTAAGTATGTAAACTGTGTTTACCCAGACCACATTTCTTGTTTTGTTCAAACAGCTTAATTTAGGCCTAACAACAATGTTACTTAATGTCAGTATTTTTTCTGGCACCTCTAAAGGGGAGAAGGAAGGGAGTTGTTGCCGCCTCCCCTCTCCCCTCCCCTGGCAGTTTTAAGTGCTGCCTCTGAGAAAAGTGTCTGAAAAAAGGCCCTTCTTATTGATTACTCAGCATGGTCGAGTCGGTAAAGCTCATGGTTGCTAAACCGAAAAGTCTCAAGTTCCAACCCTCGGGCAGATGAGGCTCGTTAGCTGGGGACAGCCACTTCTAGGAGAGACAACTCCATAATCAAACAACTGCTGCCTTGTAGTTTGTTCTTGGTTGGACAAAGGCTATGGAAGCAAATCCAAAAAGAAAAGCAGGCTGAAATCGGAGTCAATGGCCTCAATGGCGCATAACCAGTTGACACGTATCCTTAATTGTGGTTGAGGCGTGGTCGAGTCGGCAAAAGCTCATGGTTGATAAATTTGAAAAAAGTCTCGAGTTCAAACCCTCTGGCAGATAAGGCTCGATCACTTCCAACACTAAAAATTAAGAACAAAGAAGAAGAAGAAGAAGCCCCCTTCCCTGGCAGTCTTAAGTGCTGCCCCAGAGAAAATTGTCTGGAAAAAAGGCCTTCTTATTGATTAGCCCCACATTCTCCCAGTTAGTTATACCAATGACTGTCTTCAGCATTATACCAAGTCCAAGCTCAGAATCCAAAACAACGAAGTTTTAAATCGACTGAACTTCACTTTTCTGTTTTCTTTTTGTGTAGCTCCCTGACCTGATCAATGAGAACTTCCCAACCCAGGCTGACAAGAAGGGAATCTTTGGTCACAGGTGATTGTTTCCCCTTTTATCATTTTCATTGTTTTAAACCATGGTGTAGAAAAATGTATTGGAGTTCTTTTAAATAAAAAGTAAATTTAAAAAAAAACAAGTTAATAAAAAGTCTAGTGACAATTTAAGCACAATTTCCTTATGTTATCCATAACAATTTTTTATTTTTTTGTGACCAAACGAAAGGATATTTTTTTGCGCTAAAAAAAAAGACAACTATATTAACCTATATTAACTGAAATAGTTTTATTTTAACGAGTAGGCCTACACGATGCTCAGCTTAAAAAAGTAGTAAATATCATCCTAGGCCTACACAATGATCAGTTTAAAAAAGTAGTAAATATTTTTTGGTGACCGAACGAAAGGATATTTTTGAAAACTTTCTTCAAAATTCAAAATTATGGCAGGAATCGTTTGGTAAATGTTTCAAGTCGCTAAGTGGTCTGGTTGACGAGATATGGGCCAAAAACTGCATTTTTTTTTAGGTTTTTTGGCTTTTCCTGGAAATCCAGGAAGGAATTCCGGGAATTTTTTTTGGCCCACAATCATCTTCGGAACTTGCTTAACATATTTGCTTTTGGAACTAGTCCTTGATATTGCTTCGTTGAGGAGGAGATACAACTTAAAGCTGCGGACACACATCCATCCATCCATCCATCACCAGAAATGACGAGTTAATAATCGCAATTGTCCAGTATGGAAATTGCGCTAAAAAGGAACTGTAGTCGAATTAGAAAACTATTAAGTAAAAACACATGCATTTAAAAAATAAATAAACATTTGAAGTTTTTATTTACATTAAAATTTTCCCAATGAGTTTGGCGCTTTTGTGAATTTGGTCATCTTAACAGAATGTCTTATAGTTATAGACAGAAAATATTGATCAAATATTGTCACTTTTACAAGATAACCACAATCAGATTTTTTCTTCTAAGATACTAATATATCTTAAATACACATCTATTTTGTTGTTGTACAATTGTCATTAGTTGTTTCCATACATATATTCATGCCTTTTTATTTTAATTCATGCTGTTTAATTTTAACTTTTAACACACTTCAAAATTATTTACAAAATAAAAAAAAAAAATTTTAATTACTGGCACCGTTTTTTTCTAAAATTTAATCTATGTAATTACGTCTGTGTTCTAGTTGTAAAATGTTGCACTTCAAAATTATTTACAAAATTAAAAAAAATTGTTTAATTACTGGCACCATTTTTTTGTAAAATTTAATCTATGTAATTACATTTGTGTTCCAGTTGTAAAATGCCGCTACAGATCTAAAGTAAAAAAGTTTTTGAAATATTGACCTTGACCTTTATGTACATCAACAGCATGGGAGGCCACGGTGCACTTGTCTGCGCACTTAAGAACCCCGGCCTCTACAGGTCTGTCAGCGCCTTCGCCCCCATCGCCCACCCCACAAAGTGTGGGTGGGGCAAGAAATGTTTCGCTGGGTATCTGGGACCAGATGAGAACCTTTGGAGGGTGAGTACATGCTTGTAAACATGTGAGCAGGATCTACTCTAGGGTGTGTTAGTGGCAGAATTACCGTAGCAACTAATCCAGACATAACAGCTAGATTGTAGCGAAGTGATAATAGTTGTCAGTAGGCTGTTAAAGTAATAATAGATGTCTCAGTAGGCTGTCAAAGTAATAATAGATATCTCAGTAGGTTCTGAAGTAATAATAGATAGCAGGCTGCCAAAGTAATAATAGATATATAAGTAGGCTATTAAAGTAATAATAGATATCTCAGTAGGCTGCCAAAGTAATAATAGATATCTCAGTAGGTTCTGAAGTAATAATAGATAGCAGGCTGCCAAAGTAATAATAGATATATAAGTAGGCTTCCAAAGTAATAATTTTAATAGATATCTCAGTAGGCTGTTAAAGTAATAATAGATATCTCAGTAGGCTGTTAAAATAATAATAGATATCTCAGTAGGCTGCCAAAGTAATAATAGCTATATCAATAGGCTGCCAAAGTAATAATAGATATCTCAGTAGACTGTTAAAGTAATAATAGATATCTCAGTAGGCTGCCAAAGTAATAAAGATATATGTAGGCAGCTGTTTAAGTAACATTTAACCAGTGTGCTGGCCATGGCTCTGAAGAGTCCTTGACCAATGTAGTGTGGCCTGCAGTGGGGAAACCCTAGTGAGATGAGACTTAAAATGGACAGGGCATGCTCTTTTATAGGTGGACCGTCTCATGAGCCTGTCAGTTTCATGTGACTGGTCACTCTGTCTTGGCTGGCCAGGTTTGTAACATGTGATTCACTGGTTCAGATACTGCACTGTCTTAATGGTCACTGCTCATGAATGGAACTAATCTTATTAATTAGTAAGTGAGGGAGACATTGGATGCATGTGAATAGGGGAGTAATCATTGCAGTTAAAGTAAATTGTTCTACCATGACATAAAACTATACTGTCCAACCTGTATCATCATCCCTTAAACCTTATTGGGGTCTTTGGAGCACCACAGTTAACCTGATAATTCTCAGCCATCCATCTCTGTCATCTGCCAATCTGATTTGTTCTAAGACAAACAGCCCCATCCAATCCTTGATGTCATCCATCCAGTGTCGTCTTTGACTTCCCTTCCTTCTTCTCCCTACTGGCACAGTGCGCAACAAGTCTAACCTGTAAGAGCTATGTAAATAAGAAAATGTAGTGTATCTGGTGGTTCTAAACTGATGACAGAATATCCTACAGGATTGTGCATTTCTGACACAACATGGAGAGTGCATCATTTTGTTGTAATGTGCAAGATGGTATAGATCAAAACTTCCTTGGTTTTCTTTATAGTTATTTTTTTAAAAATGTCTGTTTATGATGGTTTGGTGAATAAAGTGATACCACTAGCTGATACTTTCTATTTTAAACACAATTTTAAGCTTAGCATCTGTTTCTTTTAAAGATGTAACAAGCTGTTTGGTTAAAATGGTGCTATTCTAATAATTTACTTGTTAAAATACCATTTTGTGTTGTGATTCTTAGAAATGAGGGTTGATGTTCTATGGGAATGAAATATTTTGTTATATAAGATTGGCTATGGGTAAACTAGAAGTTAAATTATTGTGTTTTATACATTATATGCATAGTTGGTTACAGTGATCCTCTTCGCCATAGAAAGTTTAAAGATGTTGCTGTACTGAAATGCTGATTTCATCTTTTACATTAGTCACAGAAATGTTGAATCTTGATATTACTTATCAAACACTAGACCATGTTCCTGTATTCCTAGTTCTAACTTTGTCTTGTACACTCCAGGAATATGATGCTACTGAGCTAGTCAAGTCTTACAATGGGCCCCCACTTGATATTCTTGTAGATCAGGTTAGCAGAAATGTTTTTTATACATTTATTTTCTATTTTTACTGTTATATACCAAGATATTTTATATTTAGTAGTAATTTCATCTGCTATATTCCAAGCTTTTTAAAAAAAATATAACCCTTTACTTTTGAGGCTCTGAAAGTTTTTATCTTGCGATATGTGCAAGCAAAGGGACACAACTCTCTTTTTTTTTCAAACTATTACTTAAAATAATTAATTAACTAAAAAATCCACGCACATTTAAAAATTAAAACAAAATGTAATTCAATGAGAAAAAATGTATGCAGATTATTGTGCATAATTTTAATTACTATGCGATAGACATTTTATTTAAAAAGGATGATTGAACTTATTTGTGAAAAAAACAGTATACGCCAAACAAACGCTTTTGGCTGCCTAGGACTGTACCACAAGACAATAAATCTATAGGTTACAGATAGTAAAGTTAAGATTGATATTTTTACTTTGATGGAATAAAGAATAAATAAATGCTACCTAACTGGTCACCAAATCTACAGATCTCAGATAGTAAAGTTACGATTGATATTTTTACGGTGATATTATTTGATGGAACAAATAATAAATAAATGCTACCTACACTGGTCACCAAATCTACAGATCTCAGATAGTAAAGTTACGATTGATATTTTTACGGTGATATTATTTGATGGAACAAATAATAAATGAAGGTTCCTAACTGGTCACCAAATCTACAGATCTCAGATAGTAAAGTTACGATTGATATTTTTACTGTGATATTATTTGATGGAATAAATAATAAATAAATGCTACCTACACTGGTCACTAGGGAGCTTCTGACAACTTCCTGAAGGAGGGCCAGCTGTTACCTGAGAGATTGATTGAGTCCTGTGCTGAGAGCAAGATGCCCTGCATCATGAGGATGCAAGAGGTGAGTGACCTAGTTTTGTTGGTCAGACAGGTGAGTGACCTAGTTTGTTGGTTAGACAGGTGAGTGACCTAGTTTAAGGTCAGACAGGTGAGTGACCTAGTTTGTTGGTCAGACAAGTGAGTGACCTAGTTTGTTGGTCAGACAGGTGAGTGACCTGGTTTGTTGGTCAGACAGGTGAGTGACCTAGTTTGTTGGTCAGACAGGTGAGTGACCTAGTTTGTTGGTCAGACAGGTGAGTGACCTAGTTTGTTGGTCAGACAGGTGAGTGACCTAGTTTGTTGGTCAGACAAGTGAGTGACCTAGTTTGTTGGTCAGACAAGTGAGTAACCTTGTTTGTTGGTCAGACAATTGAGTAACCCAGTTTGTTGGTCTGACAGGTGAGTGAACTAGTTTGTTGGTCAGACGGGTGAGTGAACTTATTAGTGGGTTATGTAGCTGATGGTTCAAGGAAAATAGTGACAGTCAACCAAGCAACATTAGAAAACTACTTGATCTACTCTATATACTATCCGTCCTCAGGGCTACGACCACAGCTACTTCTTCATCGCTACCTTTATTGAGGATCACATTCTCCACCACATGAAGTACCTACAGTAATCTGCAGCCAGTCTCACTCCCAGGATATAATGGGCTGGACATGTCTGCTAGATCACGTGACTTAGTGAAAAACCTCTCTCGTCATAGAGAAAATATTATGGATAGTTTGACTTGTTCTGTATTAGTTGGTTTGTTGTGTATACATTTGGAAGAAGATGAACACACTGTGGGAGATTTCTTATTCAGCAAGTCTTTTAAAGTAATTTCTGTGAGTACTACCATTGCAATTTTACACCATTCCTGTTGCACTATTTACAATCAGGCTTCACACATTATGCCTAACTTTCAATTTCTCTGACATTGTTGAATGTAAATGTTTTTTTTTCTTTTTGGTTGGATTGGAAATTACTTAACTATTCTTTATGACACTTTTATAATCAGTGTTGAAAACAAAATTGATTTATTGCATGTTTAAATTTTACCATGGGAATTAACTGTTGCACTAGTTGCAGAGTTAATGTACCTGAGACTTTGTCAGTATTGGTTTATTGCTGTCATGTTTTTGTTGAAAACCTTTATAGCAATAATTTCTTTTTTGAAACACATTGCTAAAATAAAATTATTAAACACCATTTTTCCTGTGTGTTTTTATTTCAACTTGACTCTCAAACAATTTACAATTACAAAACTTAAAATAATTTCACTGCATTACTTCCCCTTCCAGTTTTCTCTGTCGGAGTTGTGTCAACCTGTGGATCCACTTGTTCATTTTTTCTTCAGGGTCACAATACAGCTGTAGAATTCAATGGCATAAAATTCATAAGGTTAAATATACTTGACATCTTAAAACTATTGTGAGGGTGAAAAAATTGACTTAGTCACAAAAACTGCAGTACCACAATTTTTAGGATAAAAAAAAAAAAGCATCATTTTAAAAGCATACGCATGGTACATTATCAATATATATAATTCTCTTCGTGGACACCATGACGCAAGCCGACTATCTAACCCTCCTCCTGCACCCTCCCTTGCTCTCCAGGCAACAAACCCGCTATCACCCCTACCAGTCTGGTGAGCTGTGGTTCGAATTTACAAATTATGAATTGCTGAATAGTTTAAAATAAAACAACTAAATAGCAGCATATGCTATGCGGATCGGCTCGTTGCATTGGTTAAGCTTAGAAATTTGAGCAGCCACACTTAGGACAGTGTGTAGAGCTTAACACTGCACTCTATGCTCGAATTTGTAGTGCACCTAGCTCTGTGGGGTACCTGACTGACATTAAGGAAACAAAAGTGGCTAGAGTAATGCTGAACATACTATCCCCCTGTGTACCGTTGTCTTGGACAAACAGGAAAAGATGATGATAAAATAAATAGCCTATGCCAGCTGGATCAATGAGTCATGGCAAGGTGGGAACTTGATCCAATCAATGTCACTAAGCCAGTAGAAAATGTTGGCCAGCAAGATCCAGTGCTGCGAAATGAATTCCCACATTCACATGTATTTATAGGATAATCAAATATTTTTGCATGAAATATCACCCAACATGTATAATTAGTTTGTGTTTAAGCTCAGCTGCTATAGTCTAAGCTCGCTAATAACTAATCAACTAAAGCAATGAGAAATTATATTCCATGCTGGAGACTCAGCATAAACAATTATGTATTCAAAGTAAAAACTACAAGAAATTTGTATGCACGTTTTTGTTTAAATTATTTATTTTGGCCTAAATTTTTCTTATGGGTCAAGTTGACCAACCTTGTATGGACAGGATTAATAAGGATTGTTTATCAGTTTAAAAAATTAAACAAAATATTAGTTTTTGACATGATAACTGTACATTATGAAAATCTGTGAGAAATGTATGACTACTCAGAGGCGTAGCGAGGGGGGGGGTGCGGACCGCACCAGGTGACACCATTTAGGGGGCTGACACCAAGGCAAAAAATAGCAAAATATATAGAGAAAAACTTGAGAGGGGGGGGGGGGTGCAAATCGAAAGTTTGAGGAGGGGAGGTGGGTGCAAATCGAAAACTTGAGGGGGTGCAAATAAAAAAATTGAAAGTTTGTCCCCGGGAAGGGTCGCTACGCCTCTGGGGGGTGACGCTATTAAGTGCCGCACCGGGTGACACCCGACCTCGCTACGCCACTGTGACTACTGATGGTAGGAAAATCAAATGTTCTTACACTGGGGTGCATGATTGACTCTGAGTCCAGCTGTAGAGGCTTCATGTCAGGGTCAGGTTTGATGGTGAACCCTGACACTGACAGCGATCCAAAAATAGCATCGTCATGGCTAGCCTGCGTGTCTGTCACTTCATCCATCTGTCACCAAGCAAAACATCAAATAGATTTTTATTACTGACATCAAATACATTTTAATTACTGACATCAAATTAAATTTAATTACTGACATCAAATTTTAATTACTGGCAAAAGCTTCATTCATTTTTCTAGGCTCATCGTTTATTAACAAAAATAAAATAGAAAAATAATACTTCATGTACCTTTTTTTTAAAAATAATATTAAATAATAGTAACTTATATCATAATTTTTTTGATAGTTTTGTTTAAGTCATACTACGATAATATAATTTGGATACAGCTAGTTGTATGAATATATAAAACACAATGTTTTTCTGTGTAAAAGTACTGATCATTTTCTCAGTACTAATAGTGCAATTTATGAATCAACTACTGTGTGATTATGGGATCAAGAAAATTTCACTGTTCAGCAAATATATAAATGAATATTCATTATACATGCTAGAACCACAAACAAAAATTTAAAAAATTGTATCCTCTACAACTGTATTACAGATATAATACACCTATGACATAATCAGAATTTTTTTTATTTATTTCAACCTTAGTCTTAACATGGTTATAATAAAATGTCATGTTTGAAAAATGTGGCAACAACCTTAGTTTGAATGCAATATTTTTAAAATGTGGCACAAACTCTAATTTTTTAATGCAATATTTGAAAACTGACAAAAACCTTAGTTTTTTGACACAATATTTGAAAACTGTGACACCAACCTTAGTTTTTGCACGTGATGTTTTGAACACGGACTGGACAAAACTGTTGGACTCAATAGCAGCGACAGAGCTAGCAAATGCCTGAGACTCAGCTAGGGAGGCTGCCACTGAAACAGCTGAGGGGATTTCTCTGACCCTCAACTTTTCATCTGCGGCAGCTGTTTGGGACAGCAAGATATTTCATTAGATTAGCTTTACTTAGATTTGTATTGATGGGGGACAACCAAATCAATTATCAGATAAATGAAACAAACCCATATAGAAGTGTAACATATGGAGCCTAAAACAAACCTCACACAAATGTTCAGATATGAGACATAAAAAACCTCATAGAGAATTATGATGTCTGGCACCAAAAAAAAATATTTGAAAATAAAAGAAAAAGCAACTGAATGATTTACCAGCTGCCTTGAGAGCCAGCCTCATCCTTTCCTCTGCTTGTTCAGATGGTGTCTGAAAGGTCAAGTAGAAACAGCATTATAATATTGGGGGTAGTAGTGGTAGGTAGTAGATGCAGCATTACCACTTTAACAATATTGGGGGTAGGAGTGGTAGGTAGTAGATGCAGCATTACCACGTTAACAATATTGAGGGTAGTAGTGGTAGATAGATATAACAATTACCACTTTAACAATATTTGGGGTAGTAGTGGTAGATAGATATAACATTACCACTTAAACAATGTTGAGGGTAGGAGTGGTAGGTAGATGCAACATTACCACTTTAGTGTTGGTGATGGTAGGTGTGGTAGAAAGGTAGCAACATTACCACTTTAGTGTTGGTGAGGGTAGGTGTGGTAGATAGGTAGCAACATTACCACTTTAGTGTTGGTGATGGTAGGTGTAGTAGATAGATGCAACATTACCACTTTAGTGTTGGTGATGGTAGGTGTGGTAGATAGATGCAACATTACCACTTTAGTGTTGGTGATGGTAGGTGTGGTAGATAGGTAGCAACATTACCACTTTAGTGTTGGTGAGGGTAGGTGTGGTAGGTAGATGCAACATTACCATTTTAGTGTTGGTGATGGTAGGTGTGGTAGATAGGTAGCAACATTACCACTTTAGTGTTGGTGAGGGTAGGTATGGTAGATAGATGCAACATTACCACTTTACTGTTGGTGAGGGTAAGTGTGGTAGGTAGAAACAACATTACCGGTTTGTATGTTATATGATAACAAAGATGGGCTGGATAGCTGCAAACCAAAACTTTGCAACCACATATATATATATATATATATAATTGGCTAAACTGTTGTTAAGCAATGGAGTGGTGAAAATTACAGCTAAAGTCTTAAACTGGTGGTCCTGGTCAGCTAGACAACCTTGTGTCCAGCCAGTCCAGGTAATAAGTCCACAATATTTCAGAACGTAAAAGCCAATAGTGAAGGTAGTAAATATTTTATGTGCTTAGAAATAATAAAATGTGCATATAAAAAATGTAAATTGACAGTACCATATTGCTAAACCCTGGGGACACATCTGTAATGGAAAGCCTGAAAAACAAAATGGATGAAGCAATAAACCTCACACATTTAAAAAGAAATTTAAACCTACAATGCTAAATGGTAGTTATTCTTAACATTCATGATGCAAAATTTGATTTTAATTACAAAATTGTGAGATTTTAATATTCTGCACAAACTTTTTCATTTCCATTTATAATTCTATCTTTTATAAGGAATAAAATCAAATGAACTGACCCTTTAACATTGACATTAGGATATAAAATCAAATGAACTGATCCTTTAACATTGACATTAGGATATAAAATCAAATGAACTGACCCTTTAACATTGACATTAGGATATAAAATCAAATGAACTGACCCTTTAACATTGACATTAGGATATAAAATCAAATGAACTGACCCTTTAACATTGACATTAGGATATAAAATCAAATGAACTGATCCTTTAACCCTTTGAGCCCGCCAGGCCGGTAAACCGGCTTCAACATTAGGCATATATGTTCAAAAAGCCGGTTTTCCGGCCCGATGATCTAGCGTCATATTCCTAGCGGCCAGTATATGGTCTAATTAAATATAATTAGCGGAAGACTTACTAAAACTGCGCATGTCTTTTGAGTGCGGGATTAAGATTTTAAAATTGATTTTTAGGAAAAGTGAAAGTAAAAGTGTTTACATTTCGTAGCAATGCTGCCGAAACGAAAAGCTGAGCCACAGCCCTCAACTTCATCACATAAAGTTGGTGCAAAAGATGAAGCAAAAGACCGAAATATCAACAAAAGAAGTAGAATGACTGCACCTCAGGCAATACAACTACTTATTGATTCTGATGAAGAAGATAATATCCATGGTCTATATTGTGATGATAGTGACGTTGAATTTGAGACTGAACACAGTGACATTGATAATGAAACTGTTCAAGTACGTTCTGATGCACGTGGCGTCAAGGACAAAGACTTGCCGAAACGAAAAAAAAATGTTTACTGGTGCAAAACATGCAAATTTTTTCTTTGCATCGGGTCCGGCAGTGATAACTGTTTTGAAAGTTATCACACAAAAGTGGACTTCTGGCTATGAACTAGTATGGCCAGGTATCAATAATAACAAAACAATTACTAAATGTAAATTGGTTTCTTCTATGTTCTATCAAAACAATAATGATGTGTTCGTTTTATATACATTGTTCTATTCAAACATTGTAAAAAAAAATTAAGAATTTCAGAATCTTGCTGCATTGTTGTTTGATCCTGAGTCTGGATACCAAATTTGATTGATTATCTCAAACGGTTCAAAAGTTATAGGCAAAGTTAGAAGCAGATAAGTGAAAATCGTTTTGGGCCTGGGAGCTCAGGAAATGGGAGAAATTAGATCAGGGAGGCCAGGGCTCAAAGGGTTAACATTGACATTAGGATATAATCCTAAAATCAAATGAACTGACCCTTTAACATTGACATTAGGATATAAAATCAAATGAACTGACCCTTTAACATTGACATTAGGATATAAAATCAAATGAACTGACCCTTTAACATTGACATTAGGATATAAAATCAAATGAACTGACCCTTTAACATTGACATTAGGATATAAAATCAAATGAACTGACCCTTAAACATTGACATTAGGATATAAAATCAAATGAACTGACCCTTTAACATTGACATTAGGATATAATCCTAAAATCAAATGAACTGACCCTTTAACATTGACATTAGGATATAAAATCAAATGAACTGACCCTTTAACATTGACATTAGGATATAAAATCAAATGAACTGACCCTTTAACATTGACATTAGGATATAAAATCAAATGAACTGACCCTTAAACATTGACATTAGGATATAAAATCAAATGAACTGACCCTTTAACATTGACATTAGGATATAAAATCAAATGAACTGACCATTTAACATTGACATTAGGATATAAAAATCAAATGAACTGACCCTTTAACATTGACATTAGGATATAAAATCAAATGAACTGACCCTTTAACATTGACATTAGGACTACCCCTGGAGTGGCTGGTGTCTCGTCTCGCCTCTGTAGAGGACCGGCTGGTACGAAACATTTTAACATGATATTAAAATTATGTAAGGACTTAAAACTAATATGAAAGTAATAAACAGATATAGGCCTACAACCTAACTTTTAACTTATTCGAATCTTGACATTAATCTGATATTGAAAAACTTATAACTGGTGTAAAATTGACAATCAAATAATATAAAACTTGGCATTTAACTGAATAGATCATAACCCTTAAGAAAATTCGAGGTTTTAGAGGTTCTAACCTTCACATTTTCAGTTAAGAATTAATTCTTCTGAAGGGTACAACACTTATATTATTCTATAGTTATTCTACAGGGTACCAAATGTTTTATGTTACCTGAGTGAAGTTGTTCTTCTCCAGGGTACCAAATCTTACATACCTCAGTGAATTTGTTCTTCTACAGGGTACCTACCCTTATATTACTAGAAAATGAGTTATTCTGCAGGGTACCAAATGTTTTATGTTACCTGAGTGAATTAGTTATTCTGTAGGGTACCAAATGTTTTATGTTACCTGAGTGAATTTGTTCTGTCGTAAGACCTGGATCTCCTGTCACGCTCCCTCGAGTAGGCCCTACCTACCCTTATATTACTAAGAAACTGAGTTATTCTGCAGGGTACCAAATGTTTTATGTTACCTGAGTGAATTTGTTCTGTCGTAAGACCTTGACCTTCTGTCACGCTCCCTCGAGTAGGACCTCCGACGGTTGCGAGAGGGAGATTTTGACCTTCTGCTTCTTGAGTGGGACCTTGACCTTCTCCTGCCAACCGGTGACCTGGTCCTTGATCTTGCCCTCCTGGGTGGTGGTGACCGCGACCTGCGCGAGGCTCGCCTGTCTGGAGACCGTGACCTTGAGCGTGGTTTCCGACTGACATATTTATCAAGACTGGTTGACCTATAACACCAAAAAAATAAACAATTATTTTCTCAATATTTTTATAGAGTCATAAAAGATTCCTGTATGGACCTAGCAATCCATTGGGCAGATGAATTAGAGTTCATTAACATACATTTCTTGACCTCGACATATGAAGGGAAAATGTGGTCAGCATTATGCCCAACTGCCTTTACTTACCTTGGTTGGACTCAGGGACATTCCACTGGTTTGAACCCAGATTCAAACTCAATACTTTCAGGTTAGCTGTCTAGCACTCATAAACTTACATATAAACTTATATATTTAAACTATGAATTCTATACCTGGAACGACCTCTTTTGCTGATGTATTTATCCAGGCTGTTTGACCTTGACCTAGAAATTTAAAACAATATATTCTTAAACATTAAGTATTAAAAAAAAGCAGCTTTTAATTTTTTTTTGTTGGTAGAACAAGTAGAAGAATATGTAGATCTTTCCTGGTTTCTAAATTAAACAGAAGTTCTTAATTTTCTTACAGCATCTACACAAAGCCCCTCTGTAAATTTATCTAAACAAATGTACTAAATAAATGAAATAATAACTTGAAATGGATTAAGTAGGCATATAAATAATTTCTAAGTTAATTTATAAATAAAGTAAACCCTTTGTTTATTTTCTATGTGCAAGTACATTTTTCAAATGTAAAAAAAAAAAAAAAATCAACTATCTTGTTAAACTGCGATAATGCTTGAGTTTACTAGTCTTTTTATACAAAAAAAAAATATCTGTATACAATTTATCAAATTTAACCCAGGATACTGAATTAAAATAATACAATATTACCTCGATCTTCTGGAGGACCTGGATTCAGTTGTCCGCTTTCTGTCAGGGCTGCGACTTCTATGTCTCTTCTTTGACTTTTTGTTTCTGTTGCTGGAGTTATGGCTGGTGTCACTGTCGTCACTAGACCTGAACACAAAATTGAGTTCTCGACTTAATTAACAGCATGAAGCTGATTAACAAAAAAAAACTTGAAATTTATTTTTTTATTTACAACCTAAACAATGCAAGGAATCGTGTTATTCTACTATAACAATAAAAAAAAATTCTTTTTTAATTCACAACTCAAAAAAAAAAAAAAAACATAAATCAATGTAGGCCTAATTTAAAACAAACTAATATTATACAATTTTGTTTTAGCAGATGATATCAACAAGTGCATTTCTGCCAGCATTATTCTTTCTCCCTCTCACATGGCATCACCTTGTTCGGATATCATAGTATTTTGTTCAGATTATGTTCTTAATCACCAGATCATGCCAATCACTTGATATCAAATTTAATTTTCATGGTGACGCTTACTTTAATCCAAACAGCCCAATACATTAATAGAGGATTATATATATATATATATATATATATATATATATATATATATATATATATACACACACAAATACGCAGCCTGTCTCCTGCAAGGACATTGGTCGTCAATGATACATTTTTCACCCTGAAGGAAAACGTAAAAACAAAAACAAACTGAATTTTACTTAGTTCTCTTCTTTTTCTTCTTCCTTGACTTTCTAGAGTGGTCTTCATCGCTGTCGTCAGATCTGTAGCGGCCCATCATGCGATTTCTGTACGAAAAATGTAGGAATATTCAACTTTTATGATCATTTCTCAAAAGGAATTTAAAGTTATAAGTTGCAATAGTATGTTTATGCTCATGAAGATGATTTAAACTGACAAAGAAGAAAGAAAGAGTTTAACTTTGGAACACATACACCAATAATTAAGGAGTGTTTTCAGCTAAGCTGTTTCTTTACTGGTGAATATAAATTATTTAAAATCTTTTTCTGCTATTGTTTTTTTTAAAGTTAAGGCACGACACATGCCACTATGCAGTTGTGGTATTTAGGTGCCTACACACAGACTGGCTGTGACCAAGTGGTTGGGGATATAAATAAAAGTGACTCTTCCCAACTTAAATTAAAAATTTTCTATCACCTTAATTACCAATTAGTCTTAATAATAATAACAGTACTAGGCCTAATCATAGTAGTACTTAGTTAAGCCTACTAATTGGGGCGTAATATAAAATAGGCCCTAGGCCTAATTAAAAAAAAAAATTAAAATACGCCCTAAATAGCCTAGATTAAAATTATTTTTACATTCAAGCCAAGGTTGAGGGTTGATGCCTGGCCTGGTTATGGTAGCCAGCAATCTCTACAATAGTACCACTATATTAATTAATTTAGATCTAATAGATTCTAGATCTTCTTCTTTCTTCTGCATTTTTAATTGAGTTTATGTTGGAGGATTTAAACAATTAATTTAATAACTAAATAATTAATTAAAACAACAAGTCCAACTGATTTGAGTCTAGAATACTAGAATAGTCTAGATCAGGGGTCTCCAAACTACGGCACGCGGGCCGGATGCGGCCCGTGATGTCTTCTCATCCGGCCCGCTGAGATCTTTTTGTCCACGGAAAAAAACATTTGTTGGTGATGGCTGAGGAACTTTGTCCAGAAAAATCAAAGACATGCCTGGAAGAAACGGCCCTCGAAGTGAAATTTGATAGTTAATGCGGCCCTCGGACTGAAAAGTTTGGAGACCCCTGGTCTAGAGGATAGATCTACTAACAACTAATCTAGAAGTCTGGATCTAGACAAGATTCTTCTTCTAGATCTCTAAATCATCTAGATCTAGATCTAAATTCTTGATTCTAGATCTAATCTTATTATTATTGTATATTGAAGATCAGTGCACTCTGTCTCACTTCACTCATTGTGAGAGACTGTAGATATAGTGTAGTGTTACTAGACAATACTACTAGAGCCTAGATCTAGATTCTAGATCTAACTACTAGAAACTAGACTACTCTGTTCTGTTAGTCACTGTGTGACTGTTGGCTGAGCTTGGGCACAGAGTCCACACGTTGCTACAAAAGTGATTAAATTTATTAAATTTAAATCTAGAATAGATCTAGATCTAGATTCTAGATCTAAATTTTAGAAAGCTGTAAGATAATAGTTTTTTACTAGATCTAGGCCTATCATTTATTATTTAGTTAGACCTAATAAAACATTAAATCTAGATCTAAATGACAAAACGAAACTAGATTCTAGATTAGATTTTACCTCACTTCTACAAAGTTTTACCAAGATCTAGATCTATCTGGTTAGGAAAAGATCACCGATGTAAACAAATAGTAATAGTAAAAGAGTAGCCCTTCCTTAAACAAAATATGCTTCGTTCTTTTTTGTTTTATAGTTTTCAAATAAAGAACCACTAGATCTAGAATTCTAGATCTAGTTATTTGGTCAATAAAATATAATATGAATTTAAACAAATTGACTGAGAAAAAAAAACACCAAATGAAATTTTCACCCTAGATCTATATGATTAATGAAGCTATTTAATATTTTAATTTAAAATTTAAAGCAAGATGTAGATCTAGGTATAAACCAAAGGCTTATATTTCAAGAATAAATCGGCCTGTGTAAATCACATTAAAAATTAAAGTCAATAGTCACTATAGTCTATAGGCCTGTCTGAAGCGTTATAAAATACACTTTTCTGATTTGACACAAACCTGCACTCGAGCTGAACGCAGCCACGTAATGCAGCACAGAAACTGAAAAACTGTAAAATGATTTCTTCAGTGAATTATATATTAAATTATACATAGATTCTAGAAGTAGATCTATATTTAAATATTTCGCTTGCTGTCAAAGGTTTTTAGAATTAAGCTCAAGTAAATGGTAAAATAAATATTTTTGTTGTTAATATTATCTAAGCCCTAACGTAATATTATTTTTATTAATAATAATATAGATTATAGATCTAGATCTAGATCTAGTCTACTCACAATATTGTTGAATATTGATCTATTAACTAGATCTAGATCTATCTAGATCTAGATCTGAATTCAATATTGGTAGAATTGTAAACATACATTACAATAGAGTCTAGATTTATATGATTGAATATATATATATATATATATATATATATATATATATATATATATATATATATATATATATATATATATATACAGAGGCGTAGCGACCCTTCCCGGCGCCCGGGGACATACTTTCAATTTGGCGCCCCCTCGGGAGCAAATTTTCGATTTGCACCCCCCCCCCCCCTCGAACTTTTCATTTGCACCCCCCCCTCAAAATTTCAATTTGGCGCCCCCCCTAAGGTCGGCGCCCGGGGACATATGTCCCCCCCCCCCCGCCCCCCCCCCCTCGCTACGCTACTGTATATATATACTTAATATATAGGCTCTAGATCTATATGTTTGTGCAGATCTACATGGAAATGAAGCTCCTCATCCCCGCATTATGTTTGACATGGAATTACTGTGTCATATCAGTTTTATGTAAGTAATGGTTATCTCCCTGTTTGAGAACTGTAAAAGTACACTGATAAGTTCACGATACAATAGTTCTTAAAATTATTGTCCTGATCGTCTATCAAAAAAAAAATGCTATATGGAGTAACAACGACTAAGGGTCTGTATTAATATATATATATAGCTAGGCTACCCAACGAAATTGTATGTAAGTTATTTATGTTGAAGGAAGATGCAATAGGAAACTATATTTGTGTGCTAGACATTAATTTACTTTAGAGCATGATTGGAAATTAATTAAATTATAGGCATATATATATATATATATATATATATATATATATATATATATATATATATATATATATATATATATATATATATATATATATATATATATATATTGATATATATAATCATTTATAATCATTTATGTAACTTTAAAATGTTTATTTATAAATGAATATCCCTTAACGTTTTTGAAGATGTTTTTGAAGTGGTTTTATTATACTATTCACAATTTGGAAACTATACACGGTGAAACCAACACGAGGTACACTCATGCCAATATCTGTATGCTCCATACATTGAACCTCCCCCCCCCCCTGGAACACCCCCCCACCTCACCCCCCCCCCCCCAGCCAACGCCACGATGAACAATCTTGCCAATATCTGTAATAAGCGACAGCTGTCATTTACTTAGTACTCCATACACTGGACCCCACCCCTTCCACCCCCCCTACAACACCCCCACCCTCCGCCTACGCCACTGCTCACCCTGCTCTCATTCCCACCGTTCCTCTGTTTCCCCAGCCCGTTCCTTCCACTGGGGGAACCTGTTCGTGGTGCAGTTTCCCCACACGCGAGATGGGCGGGTGATCTTCTACCCCCTGACCATGTCCCTGGATGCCTTCAGCGTCAACATCAGAACGGCCTACTACTACTACGCCTTTGACCACAACGTGGACGAGCAGTCCAGGCTTGTCCTGCTGGAGAGGATGAGAGTAGAGCCAGTGGTCTTCGAGGGATTAGTACAGTAAGGTCCAGTTGTAGAGTGTGGGGTTGGAGAGGATGAAAGTAGAGCCAGTGGTCTTCGAGGGATTAGTACAGTAAGGTCCAGTTGTTGAGTGTGGGGTTGGAGAGGATGAAAGTAGAACCAGTCGTCTTCCAGTAAGGTCCAGTTGTTGAGTGTGGGGTTGGAGAGGATGAAAGTAGAACCAGTCGTCTTCCAGTAAGGTCCAGTTGTTGAGTGTGGGGTTGGAGAGGATGAAAGTAGAACCAGTCGTCTTCCAGTAAGGTCCAGTTGTTGAGTGTGGGGTTGGAGAGGATGAAAGTAGAACCAGTCGTCTTCCAGTAAGGTCCAGTTGTAGAGTGTGGGGTTGGAGAGGATGAAAGTAGAGCCAGTCGTCTTCGAGGGATTAGTACAGTAAGGTCCAGTTGTAGAGTGTGGGGTTGCTACACCAAAAGCCTAGAGTTCGGAACCCCGGGCCATTGATGGGGACTTGGAAGGAGTCTCTTTCAGGCAATAGGGCTGGTAAGTAGGTCACCAACCAGCTCTATGTCTCATGCAGGTTTTATTGAGCCGTAGAACTGGTTGGTGACCTACCTACTAGCCCTATAATCTCCGGGGTGAGGTGGGGGACTAAAAAAGTTCAAGAGGGTGAGGGAAGACGTTGGTTAAAGGGTATATTTTCTATATAAATGATACATTTTGATCCAAAAGGGGAGGGGGGGGGGTAGTAGACGTGCTCCGGGGGCATTCCTACTCCCCCCCCCACGATGAAAAGCCTGAAAGAAACTCTAGTACTTGGTTCGGGGAAAATGGAGGCGGGTGGGTATAGTTGTGCTGAACACATTTACTTGATTTATCGAGGTCGAAAGAGACAGTTGAACTCTACTTCAACTAACGGGAGGACCGTCATGACAGAAAAAAAGTCGTTTATAAAAGTAGAAACCAGAAATTCGAATCAAGATAAATTGATCTATGGTTTCAGAAATCAACATCAATTCGCCGATACTCCCACATATAAGTAACTCTTCGATGACTGTCTCATTGCATGGTGTTGCACAGCGACATCAACACTGGTGAAATGTATTACATGTAAACAACAACATTCAATTCACCACTAATCACATCAATTCACCACTAATCACATCAATTCACCACTAATCACATCAATGCACCACTAATCACATCAATACACCACTAATCACATCAATACACCACTAATTACATCAATTCACCACTAATCACATCAATTCACCACTAATCACATCAATTCACCACTAATCACATCAATTCACCACTAATCACATCAATACACCACTAATTACATCAATACACCACTAATCACATCAATACACCACTAATTACATCAATTCACCACTAATCACATCAATTCATTGTTCAGTAAATTGATTTACTATACATTAAAAACATTTTAATTGGAAAAAAAAACTACACAACAAAAAAACAAACAACAGAAGATTCCTCTTTAGACTTAGCGATCCATTGGGCAGTTGAAGCAGAGTTTATATGTTTCTTGACCTCAGAAAAAGGATAGGGGTATAACCATTTATTGATCAAGTAAGATAACTATTTTTATTCTAACATTAAGCATTAAGTTTTATTTTTAAATAGTAAAAGGGTTTCTTTCGGACATTTTTTTTTCGGGGAGGGTAAGTGGAGTCACTTGAAAGTTCGGAAAGGGGAAGGGGGTTGGCGGACATTGCTTAAGGGGGCTCAACACCGTACATACAAAAATTCACAATTTTTTAAAAAGAAGGCAAACATGTATTGCAGTTATAAAGATATTTTATATACTTTTAGACCAATGTGAATGTGTCATCAGCGTTAGCCGATTAAAAAATACAGAAATAAATGATTTGTACATATCCTGCTTCAAACTATTAATTAAGATGTTTTCCGTAAAAACTATATATATATATATATATATATATATATATATATATATATATATATATATATATATATATATATATATATATATATATATTAGTTCCGTTAGGGTTAGGGGGATATGGGGGGGGGGGGGGATAGGGCTGTGTATGTACTCCTGGGGGAGGGGGCGCAATTGCGTAATGCCTGAAATACACTCTGAACAATACGCGTATCTAGTTTTATTCACTTGTATTTTTTTCTTTTTTTTCCGAAGGCCACGGAAAACAGTGGGCAAAACGTATGCGTTCGTGGCCCACAGCGACGTGAGGAGGCGGGACCTGTTCTCCCTGACTGTCCAGCTGCTCAGCACCACGCTAGTCCGGTCTGTGTCTGAGATGCTAGTCCTGCCAGTGGCGGCCTTTGGCAGGTCGTACTACCTGTTCCAGCCCATGTAGGCTTGCTGTGGATGTATTTGTATTGACTTCCGTATGTCGTGTTATTTGTTAGGTGTCATTATAGTCAGTGGCGTAGCGAGGGGGGGGGGGGGTGCGGACCACACCGGGTGACACCAATTAGGGGGGTGACACTAAAGCAAAAAAAAAAAAAGCAAAATATATAGAGAAAAAATGTTAATTCCACTTAATTAAGTGATTAATTCGAGTGTTAAAAAGTCTTTTAAGAGCAAATTTGACAAATCCCGACAAGGGTGGAGGGGGCGGGTTCAAATCGAAAGTTTGATGGGGGGGGGGGGTGCATATCAAAAATTAAAAGTTTGTTCCCGGGCACCGGGAAGGGAAGGGTCGCTACGCCTCTGGGGGGGGGGTGACACCATTAAGTGCCGCCCCGGGTGACACCCGTCCTCGCTACGCCACTGGTCTGGAGAGAGGGGGTCTGATAAATGGACAACACCTGGCTCTTCTCTTCTTACTGCCGATGCCTTGTGCTTAGGTTTCCAATATGCAATGGTCTATTAGACTTTGGAGCCATATATTATAAATATCATTATAATATATTTATATTTACTTTCAGATATCTTATTATAAATATTGGGTTGTGTTAATGGTATGATTGCGGGAGTCTTGGCTGTTCATTTATACATTTTTCGGTTTATGTTGCAAAATTATATCTTCTTTTTACTTTCTCGTATATACGAAGTATAGAGAAAGTATTGTAATCGTGCACAAAAATAACATGAAACTTTGACAGTTTTCACCGTTTTACTCCTCAGTCCTTCATCACATCCGGAGTATAGAGGACTTATTTTAATCAGGCAAAAATTATAATACAAATATATAAACATTTTGGCGTTTTATGCGTTATCGAGTCGTAAAAACTAGACTTTGCAATTCTGTCCGTATGTCTGTGTGTGTGTGTAAACACGATAACTTGAGTTAGTACCGTTACAGCTAGGTTGATGAAATTTCATAAATAAGTATTTTATGAAAATCGTAGATCCTGATCAACTTTTGAGCGATTTCCGATAAACGGAAGTGGTACTTTTTCTACCTTGAATTTTTAAAAAATTCCGGGTTATCAGAAATCGCTCAAAAGTTGATCAGGATGTACGATTTTGATAAAATACTTATTTATGAAATTTCATCAACCTAGCTGTAACGGTACTGCAAAGTTATCGTGTTTACACACAGACAGACACACAGACACACACAGACATACGTGGCCCGGGGCGCCAAATCGCACCATGACGACTTGATTCAACTTAGTACACGACTATAGTACCCCAACTTATTCATAGTATTTTGAACTCACTTACGCGAACGTAGGGTACCATAGCGTACATGGGAAGGCCCGGGGCGCCAAATAGCACCCTGTCGGGGTGCCGGAGGACGCCCGGGATTTGATTCACTTAAAGACTATAGTAACCATTTCTTATCCATAGTCTATCCGCACTGTTTAAAACAATAATTATGCAGCTCAGGCGCTCACATGATAGCCCAGGGCGCCAAATCGATACCGTGCAGGGGCGGCCGGCGGACGCGCCTGTTTCAATTTAGTGAACAAAATTATAATACTCCAAGCTTATCCAATCTCTCATCTCC